CCACCACGATATATAAACCTGTACACACACAGACACACACATTTTTAACATTTGAGAAATCTTTCTCACACTCAGACATTGAGTTTTATTGAACAACTTAAATATCACATTTGCTATCATCCACCAAACAGACACTGCCCGAGGCACTGAGATTGTTATTGGCAGGATGGGGCATCTCTGAATCTGTTTAGTGTGTGTAACGTTGTCTTGCTTTCTCAGTGTAATGAGATCTGGGCAGGAATTGGACCCTCAGCTTGATGCAGAGTTATATCCATCATCCATTCTATTTCAGCAGTGCAGCATCCCATCTGGGGGAAAACCCCATCTAACATGATCCTGTGAATGATTAACATGCTTGCAATGCATGACTGCTCTCTTGCTCTATCCTGTGCCTTTTACCATGACTACTGTATGTTTTTCAACTTTTTTTTTTTTTACATTAGTTTTTATTTTTATTAAAGCTTTATCTGCCCAACATTGGATTTTCCCTTGAATTTAGATTAATTTATTGTTAAGTGATTTTTTCGTCCTGTTATGTTTTTGGCAGGTCATTTCAGCTTCAGCTTCTGATTCTCCAGTAGAACTCCAGTGGACCTGCGGTGGATCTCCTGGGAGTAGTTTCACCGTCTCATTTGTTAAGGGATCCAGATGTTTCAGTAACTACAAGGGGTGAACATAAATCATTCGGGGACAGTGTGTGAGTGTGCACACATTTTTAACATTTGAGAAATCTTTCTCACACTCAGACATTGAGTTTTATTGAACAACTTAAATATCACATTTGCTATCATCCACCAAACAGACACTGCCCGAGGCACTGAGATTGTTATTGGCAGGATGGGGCATCTCTGAATCTGTTTAGTGTGTGTAACGTTGTCTTGCTTTCTCAGTGTAATGAGATCTGGGCAGGAATTGGACCCTCAGCTTGATGCAGAGTTATATCCATCATCCATTCTATTTCAGCAGTGCAGCATCCCATCTGGGGGAAAACCCCATCTAACATGATCCTGTGAATGATTAACATGCTTGCAATGCATGACTGCTCTCTTGCTCTATCCTGTGCCTTTTACCATGACTACTGTATGTTTTTCAACTTTTTTTTTTTTTACATTAGTTTTTATTTTTATTAAAACTTTATCTGCCCAACATTGGATTTTCCCTTGAATTTAGATTAATTTATTGTTAAGTGATTTTTTCGTCCTGTTATGTTTTTGGCAGGTCATTTCAGGTTCAGCTTCTGATTCTCCAGTAGAACTCCAGTGGACCTGCGGTGGATCTCCTGGGAGTAGTTTCACCGTCTCATTTGTTAAGGGATCCAGATGTTTCAGTAACTACAAGGGGTGAACATAAATCATTCGGGGACAGTGTGTGAGTGTGCATATGTTTGTGTGTGAACATGCTAGCAGAGCTTCTGCTGGAGGATTTAAAACTCTGGTTTGGATACATCCTTAGGGTTCTTTAGGTAAAACTATTTATGTGGTGGGGTAATATCTAGTTACTGTTTATTAAAACTTTATCTGCCCAACATTGGATTTTCCCTTGAATTTAGATTAATTTATTGTTAAGTGATTTTTTCGTCCTGTTATGTTTTTGGCAGGTCATTTCAGGTTCAGCTTCTGATTCTCCAGTAGAACTCCAGTGGACCTGCGGTGGATCTCCTGGGAGTAGTTTCACCGTCTCATTTGTTAAGGGATCCAGATGTTTCAGTAACTACAAGGGGTGAACATAAATCATTCGGGGACAGTGTGTGAGTGTGCATATGTTTGTGTGTGAACATGCTAGCAGAGCTTATGCTGGAGGATTTAAAACTCTGGTTTGGATACATCCTTAGGGTTCTTTAGGTAAAACTATTTATGTGGTGGGGTAATATCTAGTTACTGTAAAAAAAAATTAAAGTGGAATTAAAATGAAAATTGTTATTATTTACTCAGCCATTGACTTTCTGTCTTGTGAAGGAACAATTGTAGTAGTCACTATTTCCATGCAAATACAATGAAAGGAGGACTGAGGCTTTCAAGTTTCAAAAAAGTATCATACATTTTAAGAAAATAAGAAAGCCATACAATAGCTTTGTTTATAAGGACCTGGAACAGACTTAAATTTAAAGGAATAGTACACTCAAAAATGAAAATTCTGTCATCATTTACTTACCCGTATGTCGTTCTAAACCCATAATACTTTTGTTTATCCTCAGAATGCACATACACAGAGCACATCAAATATGGTAAATGGAAGCTCAAACTTGCTTGTTTGCTGGCCGAGAATAAGTGATTTTCATTCTCATACATCAAGCAAGTACGTGTGAGCTTGCTTTTAACATATTTGATGTGCTCTATGTATGTGCACTGATCATGTTTTTAAAGCCTACATTTAAATTTAAAAAGTGGGGACTTAGATTAAAATGCTGAATTCATATGGATTGTTTACAATGTCTTTATATATGTTTTGAAGTTTGAAAATGTTGGTTGTGTTCAATAGCAGATGAAAAATGATGAGATAACATAATATCTCATCTAATATTTCATATCTCAAAATATTGCATACATTTTAAAAATTGAACCCACATACGAAATAATGTCGGGAACAACATGAAGGTGAGTAAATAATAACATCATTTTCATCTTTGGATGAACACATTTTTTTAAGATGAGCAATTCAACTGGTCTATTTTTTAAAGGATTATTAATAAAATATTTATTTTCATATCAAGCATTTCTCTTACTTTTTTTCTTGTTTCTATCTATCAGCATTCCCTCTGTGTCTGTCTGACAGCCTCCTGCTTCATAGTATGTTTTTTTTAAGCAAACAGTGCCCTGTACAGGGGACAGTCGAAATAAGCTGAGTGCACCTATCTCTCTTTAATCACATCTAAATCCCTTCATCTTCCACAGTCTATCTTTTATTTGTGTGAAAGACATCACGCTCTAATCTTACAGTACATCATGCTCACACAAACTCAGTGACATAACACCGATGATGGACAAGCTATAACATCATCACTCTCTTTCCTGGAAAAGTTGTTGAACAATTACTTCTTCTGAGTGACTCCTTAAAGTTAAAGATTTTAATATCAAGCATGCAATCTCACAGTTTTTCTTTTGTGTGTCACTGATTAATAAAAATGTGACTCCACAAAGAGAAATCAATAAATCCACTCTGCATCCAGCACAGCCCGCTGTGTCTGTGTGTGTCCACCACGTGCATTTAAACTCCCCATCAATGAATGGGAGTCAGTTGATTAGATATGTTCCACACAATACAAATCGTGGAGAACTTACACAGCAGTCTACACACAGCCGCATTTTATCAATGAATCTGCCTCTGCAGTATGCTGGGAAGGTTATTTGAATCTTTTATGATGAAACAACATCCTCAAGGGGAACATTAATTAAACATTTAAAAGTCTCTCACTCTCTTTTTTAATTTTTCTTGCCTAAGTGGTGCTAAGGCCTTGTTTCTGAATCAACATTCCTGTCAAATCAATGTACCCTAATGACTCCTAACATTTTAATATTATTCAAGCCATAACTGCAGCTTAAATCTGAGCCCTAAAACCTGATAGGCTAATATTATTTTGATTTTGCTGCATCAAAAATATGTGCACTTCCATACTATAGCCTATAGTAGGTGAAAAACAGTATGTCAAGAGATTCGACGTGTCCAGTTTCATAGTTTTATGATATCTGCATATCTGATGGACACTTTATTATTCCATGAGGCCACAGGAGAGGATTTGTGAAGGACAGAGAAGCGACACACTTGACTGTATGTCACATGACAGTGACAACATACTGGATGTAGTACATACAGATTTAATTCATACTACACTATATAGAACATACTTTCTTTAGTGGTATGGTTAAAATACCTGTGGTTAAAATATATATATATTACCTACTGGAGTATGCTATTTCAGACACAGCTCATGTTTTTACACAGCAAGATGATATCATGTTTTACAACTTTTCATATTTCATACCTTTCTTATTTTATTACAGCAGTTTGAATACTTGTCTATTACTGTAAACAAGTACTTAAAAAGTTAATTCCAAATCTCTCCAAAACCCACCCTGTGTTGGTTCCTCTTTGGGCTTTTGATTATGAAGGAAACTCTGCCATCATGTGGTAACAAAATAGCACAAGCTTTTATTGCCTCAGAGTATAAAACCTTTGAAAAAGAAAAGAAATGTTTTAGACAGTACATTACTCAATGAACGCATTGTAATGGCCAGTATAAGATCAATTCTCTCAATTTTCATACAGCTGAGATTTGTTCAAACCGTTCCCTATCTTTCCACAGAATATGTCTTGAATGGATGATCTTTGCCAACAATTTATGGAAACTGAGTAAACCCAGTTTTGCATTTACCCAGTTGCTCGTTCCACTTTTTTTTCAATAATCTTATTCTTTATTACTAGACATTCTTTTTAATTATTAATATTTATGTAATTTATATTTTGCACATCACTTTACATTTTTATAGTTTCTTAGTTTTATTAACATGTTCTTTTTATTTAGTACTACTTATTCCTAATATCTTTTTGGTCAGATTGTAGAATAAAGTATTTCACGGTTATGAAGTAGCTACCATTGTTGCTGTTTAAACACATTTGACTTTTATACATCATATTATACATTTTTTAGTGCATCAGTGCACATATTAACTGTACTGTGTACATTTTGTTATATTTATGTATTTTATTGTAATACAGTGTGACAGTGACATTTTTTCAGCAGCTGTTTTCTCTTCCAGTTCTTTCAATAAAGAATACTAAGCTGAACCACACCATCCTGCTCACAACAATAAACCACAATGCATAAAATAAAAAAAACATAAAATACAGTGACCTGCTCATGACATAAATATAATGATTATTCTATATAAAGTTTTTTTTTTTTTAAGTTACACATACTGTTCCCAGAGTCCCAAAACCAAAGGCTTGTCGTTTTGGGGGTCTCATGTGACAGATAGGTCCACCCTCATGGGGGTCTTCACTCTGACTCACATTGTTCCAATACAGTAGGTCCACGTACTTCCATGGGCTGGAGACGTAACATGTATAAACTGCCCACTGACCGGATCTGCTATTTAACAGGTGTAGCACCAAGTGCAACTGTGTCGTTTTTAGACAGATCTAGCCCGGGACTATGCGCTCAATCTGGGGTTTAATTGCCTTGGTGGCCGCGGCTACTTTTTACTTGTCTCTGCTGTCCGCGTTCCTGCCGCCGGGTCCGCGTGCCGTCCGTGTTCACGACGCGGAACCTGAACACACTGCCGATGAACCGGAGGAAGAACTCAGGTAGAATAATTAGAATAAGATCTCGCTGCGTCTTATATTTGGTACTTTGTTTTGTGAGCAGTTCCTACTGATGCTATTGTTTGTAGCTGAATGAATTCTATTAAATTCTCTATTAACTGTCAAATGGTAATTAATTAATAACACACAATTTACCTACAGGTAAGCCAAACATCTGAATATGTTATTTTAATAATCTTACGCGTGCTGATAGTAACTGAAATAACAAATGAAAAAATAGGAAATTATTTCAGGTGAACATACACAACGTAGGCTACATAATTAAATACAATTAAATTCAATTTTAAGGCGAAACTTGGTAGCTATTGATGTTTCTTGTGCTACTTCCGACTTGTGAATGAATCGGTGTTTTCATTAGTTCTTTTTACTTAAAAGGTTGAACTGGTTCACATCTCTCACTGATATTATTAAGTTAAAGATTCACTCGATATATGAACGATCGAGTCTAATTCACGAACGAATCGTTTAGATCGTTTTTGTGAATCACAAGACCTGTCTAAACGATTCGTTCATGAATCAGTTTTTATGGTTATTTGTGGACAGGTAATTCATTTATATTCAAATATTAATATTATTAATACAGTTTAATATTATTAACATTACAATAATCTTATTAACCACAACCATCTGAATTCATAGTCTGTTGCTATATATGACATTCATTAAAAATGTTTATATATATATATATATATTATTTATATAATATGTTAAATCTATTTGACTTTTTTTTCTGTCATGTATTCAATTATTCAACTAAACTGTGAAAAAGCATGCATTTACATAGAATATTTGATGTGTTTTATATTACATCCTAGGGGGTTCTTGCCTCAGGTAGTGGAGCAAGATGGCCATTTCGTGAATTTGTGCTATAACTGGACTGTAAAATGTTTCTAGTTATTTCCACTGATAATACATTTCAACTAATAATATATTGGATGATGCATGGTCGTTAAACTCATGTATAAATATGTTGCAATTTAGTAAGTTCACACTGTTTCTAAGGGAAGCATCTACAGTAAATGCAGTTTGTGACAGCGCTCCCTTTCACCTGTGGAACAACTCCCTCTTTCTCTTTTTTATTAGGCTAGTTCTCTCTATCTTCATTAATTTCACATTTCTTCCTTATTTGCCTTCATGTCTGTTTGACTCAGTATTGGTTTATTTATAACATATACGCCCTCATCTCAATTCTGAGAAGGTGTAATGGGAGAATAAGAAATAAAATTTGAGAGAATGAGAGAGAGATGGACGTGTACTGTAGAAAGAGAGAAGCTTTGGCAGTTATTCTCTGATGGTGGCTAATATTCTGGAACATTCAGCTCCTGTGCTCTCTCCTCATCAGCGTTACTTTATACTGTGTGAGCAGCAGCTCTGGGCCCGGGTTGGGAAATGTCCAGATCATAGGTTCTTCACATGCAACTCACATCAAAATAATTTTTCTTCTCTAACGTTTCATCTGTCCTCTCATTTCTCCTTGGTAGGGACCTAAAGGACCTGATCCTTAGTCAGTTCTTATTATGCATCTGGTTCTCAGATATTGTCTGCTTTGCATGTGTGCGACTGTATGCAATGAGTGAATTAAAGGGTTAGTTCGCCCAAAAATGAAAATTAGGCTGTGTTTTACTCACACCCGAGGCATCCTAGGTGTATATGACTTTCTTCTTTCAGACGAATCCAGTCTGATTTTGTTAGATTAAAAATTGTCCTGGCTATTCCAAGCTCTATCATTGCATTCAGCGGGTGTTGCAGTGCTTCAGGCCAAAAGAAGTGAAATAAAAAGCGCCCATCCATAAAAAAAAGTGTCTCACACAGCTCCGGGGGGTGAACAAAGTCCTCCTGTAGTGAATCGATGAGTTTTTGTAAGAAAAATAACCATATTTAAAATGTAATAATCAATTTAATCTAGCTTTTGCTCACTGTTGTTCACGGAAGCAGCTTCGGGAGGATGACGTATGCGCTGCTCAGAAGTGACGCAGCAGAGAGATCAAAACAAAACAACGGTCACTAATTAGAAGTACAAAACGAGGATCAGTAAAGAAGAATGTCAGAGGGTTTCGATATAAGCCAAGAGGAGACAGGTTTTCCTTTGCTAAAGTGAGGAAACTTTGCTTCCTTTGCTCCTGTTAACAAACATAGGCTTTCACGAGACTCACCGGCATGTATGCGCAGCGCTGAACTCATATGTCATGCTCCCGGAACTGCTGCCGTGTACAACTGTTGGCGCAAGCTAGATTAAAGTGATTATTTACGTTTTGAGTATAGATATTTGCAGCTTCGGGAGGATGACGTATGCGCTGCTCAGAAGTGACGCAGCAGAGAGATCAAAACAAAACAACGGTCACTAATTAGAAGTACAAAACGAGGATCAGTAAAGAAGAATGTCAGAGGGTTTCGATATAAGCCAAGAGGAGACAGGTTTTCCTTTGCTAAAGTGAGGAAACTTTGCTTCCTTTGCTCCTGTTAACAAACATAGGCTTTCACGAGACTCACCGGCATGTATGCGCAGCGCTGAACTCATATGTCATGCTCCCGGAACTGCTGCCGTGTACAACTGTTGGCGCAAGCTAGATTAAAGTGATTATTTACGTTTTGAGTATAGATATTTGCCTTACAAAAATGCATCGATTCGCTACAGGAGGCCTTTGTTTACCCCCCGGAGCAGTGTGAGACACTTTTTTTATGAATTGGTGCTTTTTATTTCACTTCTTTTGGACTAAAGCACTGCAACACCCGCTGACTGCAATGATAGAGCTTGGAATAGCCAGGACAATTTTTTATATAATTCCGACTGGATTCGTCTGAAAGAAGAAAGTCATATACACCTAGGATGGCTCTGGGGTGAGTAAAACACAGCCTAATTTTAATTTTTGGGTGAACTAACTCTTTAAGGAGTCCGAGAACCCCTTGTTCCAGCCATAGTCCAGTAGGTCCTGTATTATATATATGTGTGTGTGTGTGTGTGCAACAATATCCTGTGTAGCATATTGACTAGACAAAAAACAACAGCCCTAACACGTTCCACATTTTAAAATATACCACTATTAGGAAATACACAAATATAGTACCATTCAAACGTTTGGGGTTGGTAATTTCATTTCTTTAAAAAAAATATCAAGCCATTTTCCAAACTGCTTGTCCTTTGTAGAATCCAGGGGATGCTGGAGCATATCATATTAAAAAAATTATTATAATAATTATTATTATTATTATTTACATATTAAGCTGTCTATTAATTATTACCTTGTCTGCTCTGAATGCAAATCAACATTAGCAGTCATGTCTCAGAATTGGAGCCTGGCAGAGGACATGAGGAGACAGTTATAAGATCAGACAACTGCCTTCTGGAGTGGACCTCTTGAATTTGTTGAGATGTGCAATATAGAGGAGGAGGGAAAGAAAGAGATATCTGGATGGTTAATATGTTTGTCTTGCATGACAAGCTAAAATAAATCACAAATAAATAAAAGGAGAGCAGAGTGGTCTCAAAAGCCCTGTGCACTTATGTCACTTTCTGAATTTACCCAGATATTTAGAATAACAAAAGCAGTGGAAAGGACACTGGAGTTTCAAATTGGGTAACGGATCTGCTGTATGTCTACCATCATCACATTCCGTCCAAAGATCTGACCTTTCCATAGTGTCTTGTGACCCGTATGTCTTGGTTCATTTCTTGGTTAGCTCACTCTTCTGTACCCTGGGAAAATATCTGCTGATGAGATTGAGATGAAGTTTTTCACATGTTGTTCAGCAGTGATGGCAGAGACAGCTGTAGCCTATGTACTGAAGCTGTTTGAATCTTTGGATGGGAATTCCCATGGTTATAAGAGAAGGGGAATTTTAACGTGTTAACGTTCATGTATCATGTTTTACAGTGCTGTAGCCATAAAAATAAGCTGTTTTAAGAAAAATAGGCTTAATTGGCTGAATATGTCATGGCTTTTAAAAGTAGTTTTGCTTATTACTGTTTTGTTTATTGTCTGCTCAGTCTCCTCCACTGAAGGCTCTCATATTGTTGTACTTGTGAGAACATACTCAGTGTGCACTCAGCATGGAGCATATCACATGTTTATATTCGTCACACCGGGTACGCATGTGAAATCAAGACCTCTGCTTTGGCACATGGGTGGGGAGTACCGCCCCGTTGCGTGCCCAAATTACCCCCTGGTCAGCAGTAAGGAGCTTAGATTACTCACGACTGCCCAAGATGTGATTCATCTGCTGGTAATAGCCCTGTGACCACCACATGAGAAATTCAGTCTGTGGTACATCCACATATTTATTGATGATCATGTTAGGTGTGTTTAAAGACATTTAAAACAGTTTGGCCATCGAGTACAGCCACAAACACACACACACACAAGCACATTTCCACAGCTGAGAGGCTATTTTCGTCCATTTGGTGTATCATATTTCATTCCTTCACTCATGCTGAGGGCAGATTTCAGTCTTTCTCATCTTGCTGACAGGCTATTGTATTGATCAGGGTCCTTCAACCATTTTTAAAAACCCTTTGGTGATTTCAAGTCTGTTGTTCACTGAAAAAAAATGGAAGTTACTTGGTTTTATTCAAGTCAAAAATATTATTAAAAAAAAAATATATATAAAAAAGATATATATTATCAGTATGGCTAAACCTAAATACGTTAATTTAAAGCAAAACAAAATTTTATGGCTTAAATCAGGTAAGGCTGGCCACACAGTAGACGATTTTAAGGCGGATTTTAAGCCTGATTTGCAACCCCAAACGATCGGGGGGGAGCCCGATTCGCGGCTTGTCGCAAGTGATTTTTTCTCCAAAAAATCCTCTAGTGTGTGGTGTCATTACGATTATTTAACTGCTCCCGATTGAGATGGAGCGTCCCCGAACTCAAATCATAAATATCAAACATATTTACGATATTTACGACTCTTGATTGGGCTGCTTCTGATGCCAGGTTCAGACTACACAATATTTTTGTCGGTCACGATAGTCACTGTGTTAGATTACACGATTCTGACTCCTAAAATCTTGTCGTGTCGTGGACAAGAAACATGTCAGACTACACGTTGCTTCCTGACCATTCATCGTGTGCCGTCTTTAACGACTGACTTCCGAAAACAAGAGTGTAAACATTGCTGAAGCGCTTCCGCTATAGTTCGCCAGCATTGTTCTTTCTTTGTTCTGTCGTGGTAGTCCCTCGATGACACATCATACAGGCAGGAGTACTGTTGCCACAGCTCCACGAACCTTTCCTCCATCTCATAATTGCACCTAGCAGCACCTTTTCGCCATGTTTGAAAACTGTGTATGAAAGAGCTTCTGTGCTGCTATTGGTCAACGTCACCAATGTGACGGAACTCGTCGTGGACGATGGAAAAAAACATGCTAGTCTTTCTGTCGTGAAGCATCGCAGATGCGGAATCGGTTGTCGTCCACTATGTGAATCGATGGAATCTTGCGTCCCGATGCCCATTGTCGTTTACGAATCCCCATGACAACCTACGTCAAGCAAATCGTGGCAAAATCGAGATAAAATCGTGTAGTCTGAACCGGACATGACGTGATACCCGCGATAGCCAATGAGAGCAAGCAAGCGTCTCTTACCGGATGTTGCGTGCTTCTATAGCTGAAACCTGGCAGCCACAAACATAAGACAATCTCTGAAACATGCCATGAAAGCAGAGAACATCACCGAAAGAGCTTCTGTGCTGCTATTGGTCAACGTCACCAATGTGACGGAACTCGTCGTGGACGATGGAAAAAAACATGCTAGTCTTTCTGTCGTGAAGCATCGCAGATGCGGAATCGGTTGTCGTCCACTATGTGAATCGATGGAATCTTGCGTCCCGATGCCCATTGTCGTTTACGAATCCCCATGACAACCTACGTCAAGCAAATCGTGGCAAAATCGAGATAAAATCGTGTAGTCTGAACCGGACATGACGTGATACCCGCGATAGCCAATGAGAGCAAGCAAGCGTCTCTTACCGGATGTTGCGTGCTTCTATAGCTGAAACCTGGCAGCCACAAACATAAGACAATCTCTGAAACATGCCATGAAAGCAGAGAACATCACCCATATTCTTTTCTATACTTTGTTTTTCACTGTGAAACAGAACGCATGCGGGAGAGTCAGCTGACAACATTGATTGTCCTCTATTAGTTTTTCTTCTCTAGTGACGTTTGATTTCGCGAGTGTCCGTGAGATCACGTGTCACTGTGAAATCGTTCCTACAATCATCAAGCGTGTGGTCTCATGGTCTGGTCGAATCACCTAGTGTGTGCGTTCAGAGGATTATATAGCTAAAATCTGTTGAACTGTCTTCTTGTCTGTGGTCTCCCATGGTTTTAAAATCGGTTAGGATTTGAAAATCGTCTAGTGTGCAGCCAGCTTAAGGTAACAATTGCAGGTCACCACTTTTTACAGTATGTATTAATAGTACTATAATGTATTTATATACAGTAGTTTATTGTGATGCTTACATTCCACAGCCATTTAAATAATTGTTATTGATATAATTGAATAGTCATGTACTTTCTAATTTTATGTAATACATTTTAATATGTAAGAAAAAAAGAAACATTTAAATGAAATTAGATAAGACAGTTCATCCAAAAATGACCCCTTACCCTTGTTGAAAACCCTGGTCTAAATTATTCACTCTTTTTATTAATTATCAGAATGTAAAAGAGGCATATGAGATTTGTCATGTCTGATTTCAGAGAGTATTTTATTACCCACTCAAAATTTAGGCACTTGTAAAATCACTGAAAAAAGTTTTACTAAAGTCAAAAATATGATTTAATATCACTGAATCAACCTAAAACATTAATGTATACCACCAAAACTACTTTACATAGATTGAATCATGTACAAAAACCTGTATCTCTTTAATGTAACAGTTGCAGGTCACCACTTTTTGCAGTACAGAGTCTCACCAGAAGGTAACAGAGGGCTTTTTCAGATCATTATGCTCAAGTCATATTACTAAAGACCACAGTATCCACTCAATGAATCCATTGATTAAAACCCTTGTCCTCCTACAAAACAGTCTCTTTAGTGCTGATTTTTGTAAGGTAAGCAATTTGGTTGATGGGAAGAAAACAGCCACTCTCCAGTCTGTTAGAAATTACAAGAGAATCTTACAAGTTCAGTGCCATTATTTTACTGATTCCATCATTTCTTATGTTTTCTCCAGGTTGAAGTTCCCGTCTGATCTGGACGAGTTGAGGGAACTAGCCGAGCTGTTGCAGTTCTATAAGACAGAACACACTGGCTATGTGTTCATCCTCTTTTGCAGTGCCTACCTCTACAAGCAGTCCTTCGCCATTCCAGGCTCATCCTTTTTGGTTGGTAAAAGAGGTCTACTAGACCAACTCAGTGATTCTGTTTTTTTATTATTATTATGACATGTTGGTGTTATATCTTTCACTTGGATGTTATAAGTTGCACTGAGTAAATACATCTGGCTAAAACAAAAAAGTCCATCTTCATGTCAGGCTGCAAAACAACAAAATGTGATTATTTTAAAGTATACCCACTATACCCACAAAATGTGAGATACACACACACACACACACACACACACACACACACACACAATGTTTATATACAATATTGACTATGTAGCTAATGACCTAATAAAACAACTTTCACTGTCAATCTTTCCTGTCATGTCTAGAACATGCTGGCGGGGGCGTTGTTTGGGCCGTGGCATGGAATCCTCATCGCCTGCACTTTGACTACAGTGGGTTCCACCAACTGCTACCTGCTGTCCCGTACATTTGGCAAGCGCCACATCGTCAGGCTCTTCCCTGAGAAGGTGGCGATGCTACAGAGAATGGTGAGTTGCCTCTAGGTATCATGAGAACATGATAGAGGGATTTATGTTAATGAATGTTCTATGAATGTAGTCAGTGACTGTATTTATGACTTTGCATTTTGTTTGTTTATAATCTACATGTACTATAGCCTAAACAGTAGCATACAGTGCTAGCAATGCCAAGGTTATGGGTTTGATTCCAAGTGAATGTGTAAACTGAAAAATTGTATCCTATAATGCCTGTTCACACCAAGAAGGATAACTATAATAATAATAAAGATACCGTTTTTAAAATAATAACAACACAGAGTAAAGATATAGAACTATTTTAAAGATTTTTTTTACCAGCTGATGAACAATTCTGAATCAATTTTTAATGCTTTAGAGCTCAAGCATTTAAACATAATTGTAGCACATAGTAATAAACAGAACTGTATAGTACCTTGTTGTGGATGCTAATATAGTTATGGTTATTGTTATCTTTACAGTTATTGTTCTTGGTGTGAACAGGCTTTAATAATAATAATAAAGTTTATTAAAGTGTGCTTCTATTATACTTCTTTTAAACTAAAATAAGATACGTTCAGTCTACTTTTTATGTACTTATCAGAGGTATACTTAATATTATGCATAAGTGTACTTGGTTTATACATATATTAAGCAGAAAAGTATACTAGGCTTACGTTTGTACCTAATCTTTAGTTTGAGATTTACTACTACTACTACTAACAATAATATTCAGTATTAGTGTTCTACTATTCAACTTGGCTTGACTTATGAAGTTCATTCTTATGTTACTAATGAAGTAACAAGTCAGGTTTGGGTGGAATAGCTTAGAGTAATTAGTACATAGGTGGAACTAAACCTGATCTTTTTTGTACACAGTATAAACAGATAAACATTTGGCTGATTTCATTTCTTTCAAGATAAACCATAAAATGTTGAGCTCACTTAAAGAAAATTGCAGCATAAAAACTATGACACTTTCAGTGAATCAGTTTACTGAGAGAGTATACTACAAAGTGGGCTAGATGTATATAACTAGTAAACAGTATAACATTCACTTATAGTTCACAGTATATTTACAATACTGGACAAAACCCCTTAGATTTAAATTAGTTGTGTACTTAAAGTTGACTTCTGTTATGCTTAAAGTACACTAAAAAATGAAATAGTACACTTACAAATCTGCTAAATGTCTAACTGTAAATGTAAGTATACTACTAGTATATTGATTTTAGTATACTTAGTACATAAAGTACTGTATATTATATACTATAATATATTTGAACAAGTTTACAAAATCAAGTTTTATTTTACAAATTTTATTTGTAAGGCATACTTTGTGGTGATTTTTTTTTTTAAAGTAGCCCAATTTGGCAACCCTGATCATAATCATTATTTTCATCTGTTATAAAACTTTGGAGTTGAAACTTAATGCAATATGAGCACATGATGAATCTCTCTCTATTAGGTGGAAAAGAACAGGAGTAGTTTGTTCTTCTTCTTGCTCTTTCTGCGGTTCTTTCCCATGACGCCAAACTGGTTTCTGAATGTCACCTCTCCAATCCTCAACATCCCCATCCCCATATTCTTTTTCTCCATCCTCATTGGTGAGCTTACAGTACATGTTCAGATATACATTCATGTATTTTTATGTTATGCACTCCATTGCAATTCTGCATTGTTTTCCCCCCCTAAAGTTTCCTAATAATTCCATTTTGATCTTGAAAAACAACCCTCATGATCTCAAAGGCTTATTTTCTCCCCAGGTCTAATCCCTTATAATTTTATCTGTGTCCGTACGGGTGCCATCTTGTCTGAGATCCACTCTTTGGATGACATCTTTTCGTGGGGCACCCTGCTGCAGCTCCTGTTGATCGCCTGTGTGTCTCTACTTCCCGGAGCTCTGATCCGCCGCTACAGCCAGGCCCACCTCAAACTTGATGGCCTGGAGGCCAATGGACACCAAAAAGTCCTGAATGATCGCAAGACTAGATGACCCAAAGACAGACAGAAGAGGAGACTGCAGTCTGTTAATATGGGACTGATCATTGGTCTGGAGTCACAGTTGAGGATTTGCTTATGAATATCTGAATGCAGAGTGAAACTGACATGGACAGAAATACAATTATTGAATGTCTATAATGATGATAAAGCACAAAAGAAGAGACTATTAATGTCTTTAAAGAGAACACAATTAGTTTGCTGACATGTTACAGTGGGTATAGAAAAGAATCACCCCTTTAAAATAATCACATTTTGTTGCTTTGCAGCTTGAATTGAAGATGGACAGACACTTTTTTGTTTTATCCAGCTGTCTTTCACTTGGATGTTGTAAGTTGCACTGAGTAAATACAGCTGGATAAAACAAAAACGGTGTCCGTCTTCATTTCAGGCTGCAAAGCAACAAAATGTGATTATTTTAAAGAAGGTGATTCTTTTCTATACCCACTGGACATTGCCTCATTTTATAGGGAAAAAAGGGAATCTGACAGCCTAGCTTTTAAGTTTTATTGAAGCAAAAAATATTTTAATACTTGTTTGTCAGATACTGTTTAATGACCATGTTTGTGTGTCGCTTTATGTGTGTTTATGGCTTTATTTATTTGAAGAAACTGTAAATAACTGTACGTTTTATGTGTTTTTGAGTATGCTTACACATCTTACTAAAATAGAACTAATGATTAGGTACTTTCCCCCTAAATGTACACTGATAAAATGGTAACCTAAAAATGGAAACATTTAAATTAACTGGCTTTATTCATTAAAAAAATATTAATATCACTCAATTAACCTAAATACATTACTTTATTACAAACTATTTTTTATGGATTAAATAATGTAAATAGCTCTTTAAAGTAACAATTGCAGATTTAATAAAATGTATTACATACAAACATGTTTTCCAGTATAAACAGTATTCCAGTTTTACTTATACTGTATCCAACCTTATTTTTTAAACTTAACAGCGAATGCAGCCATTTGTAACTTGAATGTGCTTTCCGTGTCATTCTTGTAATATTATTTCAACAGATTGCAATAATTATAAACACTGGTAGCACAAATAGTTTTTCAATTACTGCACTTCTATGGCACTAGTTATTCTTCTTGTTATTTCCTATACCAGCTAATGAATCAGAAGTTTGGCAAATTCACAAAAAAAGGGCTTACTTCTGCGCTGAAAAATAAGGTGGATACCACTGAGTCCAGGCTTTAAAAAGCCTTTTAAATATTTTAAAGTGATAAAAAAAAAAATAGATATTATTATATTCATTATCCTCATGCATCCTACTGTCAGGATGTCTTTTTATTTGCAAGTTAGTGTTATGCTTTAAATATAGCCTTGTGCACTGATAATTTATATGATGGGTTAAATCTTCTGGACTTGCACAGTACATTCAGGGATTGATAACTGACCGTGTCAAACATATACAATTTTGTTATATGTGCACATGTGCATTCATCTCTAGCTACAAAACACTACTAACTACTAATAACGGCGTATTATTGTGCCATCTAAAAGAGGCACAAAATCACTTTCACAGACTTTTTCATTAACTGTTCCCTCCTGGTGGAATGACCTGCCCAAATCAATCCGAGCAGCTGAGTCCTTAACCATCTTCAAGAAATGACTAAAAACACATCTGTTCCACCTTTATTTGACCCTCTAACTCTAACACTTTCTATTCTATTTTATCTATATTGATCTTTTTTTTGTATTCTTTATTTAAAAACAACAACAAAAAAACAAACACTCGCTTTCTATTTCTTTCTATTCCATCTACTTGTTTTTCTTTGTTTGTGTGTGTACACTTTGCTACGTGTACTGCGTTAGGCTAACCGAGTGTATATTGTTGCTCTTTTGTTAGTTTTGACTGCTTTTATTGTCCTCATTTGTAAGTCGCTTTGGATAAAAGCGTCTGCTAAATGACTAAATGTAATGTACTAATGACCTGTTTTGGACTACATTCTAGTGCTGTTTCTATGGTGAATATGATATGTATCCTTTAAAAACTAAATTTCCATTTCAATATGCAATTTCATGAATTGCATCTATAGGTGCTACTTGAATAATTACTGCATTACAGAAGCTCTCCTGTTTTGAGTCACATATGGAAAAATAAATCAATGTCTTAACGTGTACAGATGTTGTTGTGTACAGATTAAGGTTTAGTTTTTGCATTGAAAACTGTTGTTTGAGCACTTGGAATTTATAATTCTGTTATAACCACGTTTTAACTGCTGTTCACAATTAAGAAGTTCTTCAAAAGGTTGAAAAAATTAATAATAAAAAAATATTTGAAACAATTTAACATCTTATTGTAACTTACAGTATATGCAGCCACAGACTGCTAAATTATGTGGAATGGATTTATACATGGTCAAATTGCTGAAATGAGAGAGATAATTATACTATATTGGCAGCTGAAAGCATTAGCCAAACTATTTCTACAGAGTTCTACAGGTGCATAATCAATGCCGAGCTACTTACAGGTAAAAACACGTTAATAAGTTGTATAACTGCAGGATAAGAATATTGCAATATTACATAATATTATGTAATCATATATTCCAACAGACATCAAGGTTTCCCTTTAGCATTCAGAATCTAACGGAAGCCCATTTCTGCCATGAGATAAAAAATAAATAAAGGTAACTGTGACTTTTTATCTCACAATTCAGACATTGCTTGAGATAAAAAATAATTGCATAAACTTGCAGTTCTGATAAACTAGAATTGTGAGATATAAACTTGCAATTGCAAGAAAAAAAAATCAGAACTGTGAGATAAATGTAGTTCTGTCAGGACCACTATCGTCAAAGATGATTGACAATTAGCATACAGTTTGGATAGGCGGTATGGTTCTGTTCTGGGCAAGAACTCCCTGCGCATCCATGCAGCCTAGCATGGATGAGAGCAGGGATAACCCCCCCCAAGGTAAACGGAACAGAACCAACATAAATGTATTGCAGATATCGTTAAAGTTCAATAATTTTATGTACACATTTTAGAATTAGTCTGATTCAAATGATAATCAGAGGGCTGACTCCTTACTGACAGAGGAGGAGCTGGGGATGGAGGAGGGTAATCAGCTATTGAGCAATGCGAAAATTGCTGATAATACTGAGGGACCTTATATATGAATGCTTAGATAGGTGTCGTATTCCCATAGGTTGATGGGGATCAGCTGAGAGTCAGCTGATGCGAGCTTGACTAACGTGACCTGCCAGAACTAACGCTACGCTTGATATTTCAGACTTAAAATTGCAAGTGGAAAAAAAAGTCAGAATTCTGAGTTTCTTCACGTTTTTCTTCACAATTTCGAGAAAAACGAGCCATATTTGTGAGATATAAACTCAGAATTGTGGGGGGAAGGTCTGAATTATGAGATAAAAATGATCAATTACCTTTTTAGATTTTTTTATCCTGTGGCGGAAACAAGCTTCCACAGAATCTTTAAGCTATTGCTGACACAAGTAAACTTGATGTATTGATATAAAGATGAAGGGAAAAAACATTGTTTTAAAGACTCTTTATTGCTCATATCCATGTAAAAAGTAGTGAGACCCTCCCAGAAAACATAAAAACAGATGTGTATTCATGATTGTTCTCTCACACTCCTATTGTCCCCAAACTCACCCACACTTGTCTAGAGCCCATAGTTTACATACTTTAAGTTAATATCAGAAGCTCATCTCAAATAAGGATTAAAGGGACAGGCTTATCAAACACCCAGAAGTATTCACGGTACAAGTGGTCAATAAAGACATTTTGAACATGGTAGAATGTGAAGAGAAATGGACACAGAGACAGCAACAGAAGTAATACGCCAAAAATCAGGTTTCATGTACATGTTGTCTTTGTAAATGATATGAGAAGAGATGGTCTTCAGCTGGACATCCCTCCCATTTGACACAGCAAAAACTTACTACAGATTCCAAATTGAAAAGATTAAATTCAAACGTGCCTAATATCATTATGCTAATATTCAGCAGTAAACTGTCGATTATTCCTATACTAAAACCTCACACAAATACGGTTAGAATAAAATTCAAAACTGACCATCTCATCTGATATGACCTCCAAAACAGAGAAAAATTACCAAGCCATTTGTAACAGAGTAACAAAGATAATGTCTTTTAAATGTCCCTATACAGGTTGAAGAACACTGCATATGGTTGGATTGAGCTGTATTCTTAGACACTATATATCTGTCAAGACAATTATTTCAGTACAAACATAAACTGCAAGAAGCAAAGCACTGTCAACACAAATGTATAGTTGCCCAAGAGTTGTATTGACCTCAAGAGCTCATTTAAGTCAAACGGTCCATAAAGCAACAATCAGTTTCTGATGCAGGGTCCTGAAACCTTTCGCAAGAACAAGCAAGCCGTGTTGGTGCCTTGCACTAAACCTTTTTTTCCTCTTTGTGTGCTTTTATTTAAAAAAATAAAAAATGCTCTAAGTTTGAGAGCTTCATAAGGTATACAAATTCAGACTGAGGTACCCTGTTCTTGAGGTAGACTGTTATATTGTACTGCTTCACACAAAGCTGCATGGACTGAGTTATGTGCCCTCTAGAAGCTTGCGTTCTGCAAGTGAATGGCATATTATTGTGCCATCTCAAAGAGGCACAAAATCACTTTCACAGACTTTTTCATTAACTGTTCCCTCCTGGTGGAATGACCTGCCCAAATCAATCCGAGCAGCTGAGTCCTTAACCATCTTCAAGAAATGACTAAAAACACATCTGTTCCACCTTTATTTGACCCTCTAACTCTAACACTTTCTATTCTATTTTATCTATATTGATCTTTTTTTTGTATTCTTTATTTAAAAACAACAACAAAAAAACAAACACTCGCTTTCTATTTCTTTCTATTCCATCTACTTGTTTTTCTTTGTTTGTGTGTGTACACTTTGCTACGTGTACTGCGTTAGGCTAACCGAGTGTATATTGTTGCTCTTTTGTTAGTTTTGACTGCTTTTATTGTCCTCATTTGTAAGTCGCTTTGGATAAAAGCGTCTGCTAAATGACTAAATGTAATGTACTAATGACCTGTTTTGGACTACATTCTAGTGCTGTTTCTATGGTGAATATGATATGTATCCTTTAAAAACTAAATTTCCATTTCAATATGCAATTTCATGAATTGCATCTATAGGTGCTACTTGAATAATTACTGCATTACAGAAGCTCTCCTGTTTTGAGTCACATATGGAAAAATAAAT